CCCCTTGAAATTTTGATTGGCTGACTGATGGCCGGAGGTTATCGGCAGCTTGTGTAACCTTGACGGTCGCTCCTGTTGTTTTTGTCTCGTCGGGCTGATCCGGGTAAATCAAAATTTATTATTTGATTGGCTGTTGGTCACGTAAACACACCTGGCTTTAGACGACCCCCATAATTAGGCATTGCTACAAAACGGGTGGAGAAATTACAAATAGACTATGTACATGCAAATATTTCACCACGAAAGATTTATTTACAATGGTAGAATAGATAAAATAAAGTAATAATAAGAAATAAAATTTTTATTTTGTTACATATGCCTCCCCTTGTTATTGAACCCCTGCGAAATTACCAATGATCGCATTTAATTCATCTTGAGAGGCCTTTTGAGCTTCTACGTTTAACTTGAGGAAATCTTCTTTAAGCAGTAAACAAATGATAAAGGGGGTAAGATGCTGCATAATAAAAAGATAAGAAGGACCCTGAGATTTATAAAGTTGGTGAGTTCGGTGGGTGGTAGTTAATAGCTCCTTGGATTTCCCGGCTGTTAATTGCTTTACAAATGTTTTGGCCTTCTTTCCCCAAGCCGCTTCTTCCATTAAAGCTCCTAACCCATAGTAATAGGGTAATTGCGACCTACGATTTATCTGGTCAGAAGAGATTCTTCTACAAAGTGATGATACCTTTTCTTCCCAGGTATCTCCTGGAGGAGCTTTGATCAGAGTAGAAGAAATTCCGCTGCGTCGAATATCTTGGAGAAATTCTAGCATTTTTCGACGAAGCCTCTGTCTATCGCTCTCAGTTTGGGATCCTCAGCTTGAATAATTTGGATTTGTTGGTCCGTGAAATATAAGACACTACTAGGAGATACCATATACATCTCTTCCAGGCCGGCTTTCTCTATTTGACTCTTAAGTAAAGCGAGAGTTTTTTGGATGTTGGAAGGGGTCTCAACAGGATTCATGGTTATAAAATTTCTTTTATTCTGTTCTGCTTTAGACAGGACCGAGAGGAGGCTTTTTATAACAGTCGTGGCTGATATAATACAGTAGAGCTCGAAATTACTGCCGAGAGTAATAGCGCGATAACCAGTTTCTATGATATCTCTTCTTCAACACGTGATCGTCCATTGTTCATAATTTGTACAACCAATTGGATAGTACATAATGAATATAATAGGGGCCCAGATTTTGGGGTTCTAATTTAGCACTGTGCGATAGGGCTAGTTTACTTTTATATAAGAGTACTTGATCGCTGATCTCATATGACTCTAACCTATTCTTTTTTCCATAATAGGCTTTTTGACAATCTTGGGCTTTTCTTATTTTGTCTACAGCCTCCTGTCATGATACTGTCAATTCTCCATATATCTTCTCAAGACGTTAATATATTTGGGACTCCAATTTCCCTTCCTTACTGAGTCTAGCCGGAAATGTTATGAGACCCGTTTCAATTTAAAGAATGGTGTGACGTTCGTACAACAAGAAGAAAGTCCAGTAAGCAAATAGAGCAGGTGCTACATAATCATCTCATGATTGTCCAAATTGGTTAACCATTTATTTAATACACCACAAAGGGTATGGTTGAACTGTTCAACCAAGCCATTAGTTTGCGGATGGTACGCCGTGAATTTGCAATGGTCAATATCCATTTTCTTACAAAGCGCATCAACTACCTGGTTGCAAAAATGCGACTCTCGATCAGATAATAATTCCTTAGAACAACCGTGCCTGGAAATAATGTCCTCAAAAAGAAAGTTGGCAACGGTTTCGGCATTGGCTTTTCAATGGGTCAGGCTTTGGGCCACTTTGTAAGGTATTCAGTGGCTACTACGATGTATTGACACTTTTTAGAGGTTACGGGAAGTGGTCCGACGATATTGATTCCCACTCGGTCAAAGATCTGGCCAATTTTAATGGGATATAAGGGTTCCTGGGTTTGCGGACGTTTTTTTTTCTGGCACTATTCACAGGTTTGTATATAGTTTTTTATATCGGTGCCCATTTGAGGCCAGTAATAGCAGGTAGCAATTCTTTAATAAGTGGCTTAGAATTCAAAATGTCCGGCAAGAGGATCGTCATGCATACTAAAAAGAACAGCTTGGATTTCATTTGTTTTCAAGACCCTTAGAGGTCGTAAAGGATCATGTAGATTAGTCTTGTAAAACAATTGGTCGATCACGATATAGTGCCAGGTCTGGTGCTTGAGGTCTGCAATTTGCTTCTTAGTATAAGATGAGGGAACGCCTGTTTTCTGGAGGAACTGAAGATAAATATTATAAAGGGTAGGATTCATGATTTCTAACTAATATGTTTTTTTTTTTTTTTTTTTTTTTTCTTTCTAATTTATTTGTTTAAGGGAGATTAATAATACGCAGCTACAGGGTAACAAAGAAATAATACAGAGGAAAAATTTTTTTTTTTTTTTTTTTCTTTCTAATTTATTTGTTTAAGGGAGATTAAGAATTCATAGCTACAGGGTAACAAAGAAATAATACGGAGGAAAAATTTTTTTTTTTTTTTTTTTTTTTTTTTTTTAGACTAATAATTTTATACACTACTAGGTAACTAGGGGGGAAATATGAAATAGCTACAGGATATCAATGAGAAGAGGTTGCCAGAATACCGGAACCTGAACTGGATTATCGGATTTGAAAGATAAGTATATCGTTTTTTTTTTTTTTTTTTTACTATATTAATCAGAATTTCAATGTCTATTTAGATACAGAATAAGCTATCAACGTTGGTATGGTGCCTTCCAGGCTTATGAACAGTGGTAAAAGAATATTCTATCAAGGTCATTACCCATTTAGCGAGACAATTCTGCGGAAGTTTGATTGCAAATAGGGATCGAAGAGGGAGTGGTCGGTATATAAAATGAAATGGCTTCTGTGAAGGTAAGGTTAGAAATATCCAACGGTCCAGACAACAGCCAGATACTCCTTTTCAGTAACGGAATAATTCTTTTCAGCTGGAGTGAAGCTGCGGCTCACATAAAAAGTACTCTCTCACGATGGTCATCGTCATTTTGCGCAAGTATGGCATCTAAGGCTTGGTCAGAAGCGTTGGTAAAAAGGATAAAGGTTTTAGAAAAATCGGGGAAGCGAGCACCAGAGCGGTTGTTAATTTTTCTTTTAAGGCTTCAAAAGCCATTTGTTAGTCAATAGTCTACTTATAATTAACTCCTTTTATTAGGAGTTGGTTTAAAGGGGCTGCAATATTGGTAAAGCCCCGAACAAACTTCCGGTAGTAGGATGCTAACCCCAAGAAGCCTCACAGTTGTCTGATATTACGGGCTACCAGAAAGTTTTGGACAGCCTCGATTTTTCTAGGGTCAGTGGCAATACCTGCCTGACTAACAACATGTTCCAAGAATTTTAATTTCCGCTTAGCAAAGTGACACTTGGCGGGTTTTAATTTAAGACTGGTGGAGTTTAATTGATGAAAGACTTCTTCCAGGTGGGTCAAGTGATTTTCAAAATTTTTGGAATAGACGTTAATGTCATCTAAGTAAATAACAACATATTTGTCGATCAAGTCCTAGAAGATATAATCCATCAGGCATTGAAACATAGCAGGCGCATTTGCCAACCCAAAGGGCATAACATTGAATTGAAAGGTGCCGAAAGGGGTTGTAAAAGCGGTCTTGAGTCGATCAGATTCTTCGACTTTGACCTGCCAGTATCCACTAGCAAGATCTAAAGAGCTATACCAACATGATCCAATAAGGACGTCTAGGAGATGGTCAATACGAGGGAGGGGTAATTGTTTTTAATGGTGACGGCATTCAGTTTCAGATAATTGACGCAGAATCTAGTACTCTTGTCTTCTTTGGAAACAAGCACAATGGGGGAAGTCAAGGGACTTTGACAAGGATGAATGATACCAGTTGAGATCATGTGCCCAATCTCATCTTGAATAATTTTTTTCTCAGCAGGGGAGTGTTGATAAGGATATTGCTTAATCGGAAGAGCATCAGTGGTGTTGATCCGATGCTTTACGAAATTTGTTCAGCCTATTGGCCCTTTTTTCCAGGTAAAAAGATCCAGATTATTTACCAAGAATTGTTGAAGCTGGAAGTGTTGCCTCGATTCCAATTTCCCGATCTGGTAGGGATCCTAGTGATTTTCATAATAGTAATCAAAGAGATCACTAACAGAAGATTCATGGCGGGGGCATCTGTGATACATCCACAGGGGTCAGGCTTGACAATTTCTTCCCTAAGGTAAGCATTTTCTGCTTTGTCATAACAATATGCAACTTTAGAAGGTTTATTATTAATTTTTTTCCTTATCCCTGTTTTTTGATTATCTTCATCAATAACGTCATCTGTGTCGGAGCTAAGATTATCCGCCTCTACCTTTAGTGGGCTGAAGTCCAGGTATGAATACCACTCATCGTCACTAGAACTATACGAGTCAGGATCATAATAAGTTAACGGGAGCAGGTTATTCAAATTAGAGGGAGAGATAAGGATTTCTCTACGCCGACGATCCTCTACCCGAGTCATCAGCGAATAAGCATTAATAGGAAGATGGGCCGAAGAGGTAGAAGGTAAGGGGTCATAAGCATTGATTTGGGGGGAGACGGGACGGCTTGTATAAGAAGCCGGGGTGTTTAATAGGGAAGTATTAATGTCTCTATAGTTAGGGGTGAGAGGTAAGAGGGGCGAGTTAAGAAGGGTATAATGTACGTCAATGGGGAAATTCAAAATCAGAGTATCGGGAAAGCTAGGTAAAGGTAAGCAATTAGGGGTTTCATTTTCATCTATTTCAGAATATCTATAAATTCTATCTTCTAACTCCTCTTCTTTATATTTCTCCTCACTATCTGCTCCCTCCTCTTCTACCTCTTCTTCTTCGAATTCCTCCTTGACATCTCGAACCATGATAGGGCAAGTATTATCAAGTGGGCATGAGTGATCTTCTTGAATTCTACAGGAAGGGTAAGTTCCTTACCCTTCCAAGTAAGGATCATTTCCGAGGCTACCTAGTCAATCCTAGCTTGAGCTTTGAAAAGCCAATCGTTCCCAACGATGGCTTGATATGACCCAGCATTGGTTATGATGACGTCAATAGGAATTTCTATTTCTCCAACCTTAAAGGGAAAGTTGAAGATCTCCTCTAAAGCTCTCTTACTCTCACCATGGACATTTATCATGTTTACCGTGTAGAGACGTTCAACCTTGATACCTAGATCCCGAAAAAGATGCAACGAAAATGACACTTTCCGATGAGCCGCTATTAACAATTAGGAGAATAGTGTCACCTAAGACCTGGACATCACAATAAAGGGCGGTGGATTTTTTTTCAGAGCTGATGCTAATATTTACTTATACTTTTCTTTTACTAGAAGCCTTTTTCTTTTGCAGACTCCAACCCAATTCGGCTTGTAACGTTGGGGCGATTCGAAAGAGTTGGCTGTACGTAATATTAGCAGGCTTATCCCAGATATCCACAACGATCGAGTAAGGAGAAACCAAGGATGCAATTTGGGGAGTTCATCCTCTTGAACTTTCTTACGAACGATACGTTTAGACTTTGCAGCTACAACCTTGGCAGGAACAACAGGGGGATCCACAACTGTTTCAAGAGGGTCTATTGCCAGATCGGGGAAGTTGTCAACCTTTTCTTCTTTATCTGCTTCTTCCTCCATTAATTGTTCCAAAGTTTCCTCTTCCAATCCCTCCTCTTCTAATCCTTCTTTTCTTCGTTTCGTAGGCCGAAGATTTCCACTAGGTCGCTGAAGGTCCCGTTTAGCTGCAGCAAACAAGGGAATGTCCTCTGCGGGGATACTGACGTAAGTGTGGTGATTGTTTTGACCCTGGCATGATTTAAACTAGCAGCCAAGGCTAACAAAGCCTGGAGGGTCTCTTGCTGCCAATTCTCAGGTGCATTGTTAACTCCTGGATTTACAGACATGGGTGGCGGTAGAAGAAAAGGAGGATTAGCAGGGGCTTGAACTGGAGGTAGATTTGGCTGGTTTTGAGGAACCAGATTAGGGAGGAAATTTGGTTGGGGATTTGTAATTTGACAATTCTGACTAATATGGCCAGGCCGACCACACCTATAGCATACAGACCGGCTGGTTTTTCTCGAAGTAGGTGGTTTTCGCTCCTGTAACTGAAGGAGCATCTTGTCGACAACCTCTGTCAACTTTTCGATTGCCGACTCAGAGGTAGGTACCGGGGGTTGGATTCCAATGAGAGAGGATGGAGTGGAATGTGCCGAATATAAGGCACTTAATGAAGCAGGTAGATACAGAAGACTTTAATGGCAAGCACTCTCATATGCCTTGGCACGTTCATAAGTGGCCTGAAGAGTATTTGGGGTGGAGGGGGCAACAGCTAGGACAAATTCAGGTCATAGACCATTAAGAAAAATTTGCGCTTTAGCTGTTTCTGGGTACTAATGACCCCCAGATTCAACTTGTAGAAGGAGCTCCTAAATCGAAGTATAGTAGGCATCGACGTCTTTATTTAATTGTTGCTTGCAGGTAGCAAGCTGGGCAAACCACTTCCCTTCCAACATGGAGTATGAAAATGGCTGATGAAAGTGGGACGGAATCTCTGGGCGGGGTTGGCGCCTTTATTCCAGGTATTAACGGGGTTAGGGAGTCTTTGAATAGTTGCCCACCATGTCGCGGCAGACCCTTTTAGATGAGAGACGACAATGGCAATTTTTCAATTATCATTAATTAAATTGGCCGCAAAAGCCTTTTCCACTTCATCAAGCCAGGTTATGGGGTCCTGGTCCCCCCTGCGAAGTCGGGGTAAGAAACTAGATTTAACTTCCGGTGGGTGACATTAATTTGGGTGGCTGGTGCAACCTGCATCTGTTGTATCAGCAATCCGATTTGAGTAGCCAAGTTATTGATGGGATTGTTTGGATTCGGTGGTTGGGCAGGGTTTGGCTGCTGCAGAGGGTTGGTGGGATTTTGTTGAGCCATTACTTTTTTCTGGGTTGAGGTGAGTTGTCTATTTACTTTTCTTAAAGTGCGATTCAGTTTGTTATGTTTTAGTAGAGGAGTTTTATAATAAACGTTTGGGAGAGATGAAAATTCGATTCCTCTGAAGGAGGGGGGATATTAGTTGATTGTTTTTATGATTTATTGGAAAAATGAATGTTCAATGTCCACACAATCAGCACCAATTGTAACCGTTGTTGGGAGAGCAAAGTAAAATTATATGGGTAAGAGCCAATTTAACTCCAACAGTATACATGGAGATGAATGTAAATGGAGAGCGAAGTGGGTCTTTTTATAATAGTATGAAACAAAAGAAACAATGGGACGGCTTTACGAATACTTAGTATTGACAAAGTATAACGAGAAGGTGATGCAATAGCGGGTGATGTCATTAACAATGGTGTTCAATAGGGTGTTTTCAGGAACAATGATGACAGTTTAAGAATTTTTAAGGGAGGGCGGTAATCTTAAGGATGATAATAAGACCAAAAGCGGACGATGGTCAAGTATAACTTTAAGTTCACATGATGATTTATCGAAATCAAATATCCGGCCAAAGGTGGTGCCTCCTATCACAATTTCTACAAGTTACTGATGTCTACAATGGTATATGGTTCA